ATCTGTGAAATAACCCTTCAAAGCGCTATCGAAGAGCACAAAGAGAGTCCGCGCAAATAAACCAATGAATATTGTATGCGCGTTTATCGATCTTCCGGATGTTCACGGCGAGCGATGAATATCGCGCAAGTATGAACGAAATCGTGCGAGATTATAATACTGTTAATTGCGTTATGTTATTAATAATACTGAATATTGATAATTAATGAAATATCTGACGATGAGTGAACGATTACGTACGACGATGGGATGCGCAAAGCGGTGCAGCAACGCCACGAGATAAATTGAGAATGGCATAGGAACTTCCTGGATCGGAATTCGACATGGGGAATGTGAAGACAGCGCGAGTATCAATTGCGTACGTAAAGGGATCGTACGATATCCCGGGCAACGGTGACCGCCACCGCAGGCCGCAACACGACGGTGCAGTCGCAGTTAATTTGCTCACTCCAAGTGTGTTTGATTCCCCTAATTAATTGATCGGTAGGGTCACCGTATGCCAGAGCGTATATACGGATGGCAGTAATCAAGCGCGTGGCCCTCGCTACGTACGTCTATTTGCACGTACGTGCTCTATTTGGCATAACCCCACGCTCGACCGTCTGCGTTTATACGTATAAATTCTTCCGCGAAAATCTCGATCAAAAATCAGAACATTTAAATTTACACATTTTTATCATTCAATAAAACACAACGAGTTAAAATTGGCAAATAACGATCGCAATACAGCAGAGATGATTCTAAAGGTCTCTGATCTTATTAATATATTCATCGATAAGATATAATTGCTTTCAATGGCTGCGTTCAGCGGCCAACAGTTGAGTCAACGGTTGAGTAGGGAGCACTCGCTGTTATTCGGTGAATTCTTTTAGATCATGCAATCAGCGTTTTAGATCTAGAAAGAATAATACATCAATAGCAGCGAATGCTCACTCAAGAGTCACTCACTGTTGAGTCCGTTGTACGCAGCCAATGGTTTACTTTAAGGCAACTTTACACATATTAAATGAAATAATTGTGGGTACTCACCGAGATGTCCGTTCTCGTAATAATCGCCGTTGTCCATTCTGTGCTTCTTCAGGGAGTGTTGAGGATGATGACCAGCCGCCGCAGCTAGGTGACTCGCCGCAAGGCTCAGCCCAACGGAAGCTCTCTTTGGGGGTCTTCCTGGCCTGGAGCTGTACAGTGAGAGAGAGTTACTGTGGTTAGAGACACCCGTCATCGAGGTAATGTCTTACCCCGATCGTTGTGGTCGCGATATTCATCGCGACCGATTATCTGTTGAAAAGATTAAGGAGGAAATATCAGCCCTCGCGCGCGAAGCACGGAAGTAAGTCTCTCGATTCATTAGTACGATCGAGATCGTCTCGGCCGATTAGATATCGCGAGAAATGAGAATACCGTAACTGCGAATTATCAATGATTATGAATCGAGCTGTGAGCTGTGAAATTGGAAACTGCTGCGTGGCACGACACGTATGTAGAAACGACTGCTTTAACGACCGCCTGCTGATCTTTCCTCTGTGAATAAGTCTTATTTGCAATACCTCGAGTGGATCTCAAGTCCTGATTTCAAGATTATACTCGAGAGGAAAGGCATCCCAGAAGAAACCGCGCGAACCATTAAACGAACACCCGGCTCACTACCCGAGGAACCAATTTGAAAAGTCTTGTTGGCTAATCTACGTAGATCGTTTGTGAACGTTTCGAGAGCGGACTCTTACATGACTAAGGGAAAAGAAAAATCATCCGTGAAAATGACTTTCACTCTAAATTCATTATCGACAAACTAACAAACAAATCTGCAAAGTTTTGCGCATTATCATTAAATTATAATAACATTTCTTCACGTAACATACGTAATAAACTCATGCACGAATGATTGAATATATAAACATTAAATGGGCGAATGAAATTACGTGAGTTCTACATTTAAGATACTTACATGGCAAAATACTTGCGTAATTAATTATGCAATAAATAATTATGCAATAAATTATGAAAGATTTTCATTGCATTCACAAGACTGTCTAAAAATAAATCTTACGGAAGATTCCGCGATCTATTCTCCCAGAAATTCAGTGCTTTATTATAGGATCGAGTTCCGTTTCGAGTGGCCGGCGTTTTCTTTTGATGAGCGTCACTGGCACCTTTCGAGCTTTGTCGGCGGCGAAGCAGACGAGGAAGATCTCCGTTGAAACAATCTGTACGATAGTGACGATGATACTGGTGCGTCCAGGAGAGGGAGGTTCATTTTTCATAGGCGGTAGGCGCCAGAGAGGCGCTCACGCATACACGCACAACGCATGCATTCACATCAACACTAGGACGTTACGCACGAAATACACGCATGTACACAGAGATGTATTTTGCTTTAGCGAGGGAATATCCGGGACTTGTTACCTTTCTTTACTCTCGATATAACACCCAATCGCGAACGTTCTCAACCTTTCCCATGACGATGCATCTCCATATAAATGATAAATTAAATTTCGATTAATTAAATTCTTCGCCTTCGATCGGATGACACATCGAAGATAATCGGGACGCATTTTTAGAGACTCGGGATCGTTTTCTTAATTATATACATGCATCCTTCACACGATCGTACATTATTCACGTAGAATCGTTAGGGAAATAACGAGACGAAGGCTGAGCACCACTAACCGGTAAGCGAGCAATCTCATAGTAGTCAAGACAGATTTGTAAATCTAATTTTTCATCCCGTCTTTCTGCCTTGCCCTCTCACTTTGCCTCTTCGTTGCCCAGAATCTTCCTCATCTCCTCCTCAGTATCTCACTCTCTTCTCTTCGTTTTTCGGCCGTCCTCCTCCCACTTCTTCCGCCCTCTCTTTCTCACTCTCTACGACATTCTTTTTCGCCTTGCTACTTGTCTCTCGCTCCATCCCTTTTTCACTGCTGCTTCTCACGCACGCGGGATCCCCAGACGATTCTCAGACGGCCGGTTTATACGGCGGTGATCTCTTAAACCGCTTAGCTTCAGGTTACACCGAAAACACGAGCGCACTTTCTGAGCGCTTAGACCCCGCATAATGCGCATTTGTTTGCGTGCCGCGCGATCAGCGAAATAAGACGAGGCGCCGGCCGGCGCGAGCAGTGGCCGGTTTAAAACATTTCTCTCAGCGAACGGAAATCTAACGTGAGTCGAAACGATATATTTATCCAACGACTACGCTGCATTCGCAACAAAAAAAAAAAAAAAAAAAAAATTTATACTTTATAAGTATCTGTTAAAGATTGAAAGGTACGGCATTGAACACAATCCTCCGCATGTAATATACAACATTTGTTTCTCCACAAGTTTTCTCCTGCCGACGAGTCAGGAGATATTTACGCAATATCTCGTGCATTATGCAGCGAAACAATGGCGGGTCAACGATTGATCCATGGGCGTGGATCAGACCGTTGGCCAAGGAATCAAAAGATCGCTAATAAACGCGCGTTGCGGCAACAACGGCCGCGCTACCGTTCGTTCCATTTTATATCGTGAAAACTAATCCGTCTTTCGGGGCGAACTCAGCTGGCAACTTACGCCATATTGATTGCAATTATTACGGCAAGGAAAATTAACATTTATTACGAAATAATCAGAATGGGAAAGAAATATATAAAATGTAATTGAAATATATATAATGTAAAAACAAGAATTTTTGAAAAAGTTTCTCTTCAAAGTAAACGCACGACCAGCTTATCCAGGCAGCTTGTCCTTGATATTCTCAGATCGCAAGTAATTATTAAAAAAGTGGTTTCAATGCCGTTGCCAGAAGGTTCCAGATAATTATATAGGTTGCTTTCCTCCTCAGAACGTTGTCCTCCAGAAATGTCTCCGCGAAAGCGATCGTGGAAGAATTTATGAGTGCCAGCGTATCTCGTGCAAATCATGTATACGCGAGTAAGCCGCAATTAGAGCGGCATAATCGTAATGAACGATCGAAGATCGAAAAACTTGACGACTTCTCGAGTCGTCCCGTCTCTTGTCGCGTGATTTACACAGCCGGAATAAGACAGACGTCCGCCGCATTTAATTGCCAAGCGAGTCGCGTCGAGTATAGTTTTCGAGCGGTCGAAACGGTTAGACGGCTGGAAATTATCGCTCAAACGATCGTTTTGTACGTTATTCGCGGCACGGTGCGATCGATCGATTAGATCCGGCAGCGCACACTTCTGTATTGTATTTGGCCGGGTTCTCATTCGGAATTGCGTGTGGGCATTAAGAGTTGCCGATGATCGGGCCAGGTGCTATGCCCCCGATCTCGATCGTTCCCCGCCCTAATGATCGTTGCACCTCCGATGGAGAACCGGATCGCTCCGCGTGAAAAGGACAGACAGATCGACAATGGAATCGGCAAGGAAAGGATCGGAGAAATGCGTGGAGAAAGAAATGGCAACGCACACGAAACGTACAGAAGTAAATGGGGGAGGGAAGAAAAAAACAACCCGGGAGAAAGAGAGAAAGAGACTCATCGCGCGGCGCGACTCGCGGGGAATTACATGGCTTTCGTAAGCGATGGGGCGTTTAACGATCTATCGACTTCGAAATTCGTCTTTGGTTCTTCCAACCATTCCGCTCGTCCGTATCCGGCGTAGTCCGTGTGTTGCAACGTGGACAAAAAACACGGCCTCAACAAAACGCAGCGAGCCGATCGAATCGAATCGATCGAATCGAATTCATGATTCGAATTCGCTGCTGGAAAGGTGTCCGGCGTCCGATCGACATCAAGGTGTAAGACGCAGGTGGAATTGTCCGTGTTTTAATACGCGCTAACTTTGAGCGGCGAATTCGAACGAACAAACGAACGGAATTTGCGAAATCGAGGGGGAAAAGAAAAATGAAGCGATCGAGCGTTACGCGACTACGGTGGAACGAGATAGATCGAGCATGTATTTAACTGTACGTGGAAGTGGTACTCGCTTAGATTGCCGATCTGATATTAGCCTTAAGTAGATGAGCGCGGTGTGATTTATAGCGCGGGTACCTTAATTGTCTTAATTATGCGGCAGCCGCTTCCGTGGAAAGCGCGGCACCGCTCCGCGCGCAATCGACCTCGATGTAATTTAACGTGAGCGTTTTCTCGCGATTCCTACCGCACCTGACAGTTCCTGCGCCCATTACGATAAACTCTGACGATAAACCAACCATAATTCCCCATTAAAATCGATGCGCGAGAGGTCCCGCCATTGTGCGTCGTCCAAAACTTCCTTCGTACGGAAACAAATGGAACGGATATGAATATCGTTTCTCCCAAGCGCAATTACGGTTATTAATTTATATTCGCGTGTATTCGCGTGTATTCGCTGCGGTAGGAAATAAGGTAACGCATATGCTGTTAGAAAACAGCGTCTGCGTTCTCCATTCGCAAATTCATTTGGCACACGACAAATTGGATGGAGTCGAACGCGACGTTAATTAGTTTTCTCGAATCGCGTTACCATTGACGTTACCGAGTTCCGCTGTTTTGTTTTTTTTTTGTTTTTTTTTTGTTTTGTTTTTTTCCGTCACTAAGCTCGTTCGTTATTGGCAGAACGATGATTACATTGTAACGCAAATATTTGCCATTCGTGTTTCACGTTCGGGGAGAGATGGATGGAAATGACGATGGCAAGAGCGTGTCGAGCAGAAGGAGAAGAGAAGATGTAGACTAGATGCGTGGTCTGTCATGCGAATATCGCGTGTGTGCCATCCTGACCCTATCTACCTGTACGCCACATTAAATCGGTACACATTGTAGAATTCCTTATGATGCCTTCCTGTCGACGTCTTGTCAACACAACGGGAAGTTGGTGTCATTTACTAACAAATCAAGATAAGAGACTTCTCCCAGACGTGAAAGAAAAATTTGCATTTTAACAATAAAATGTCTTAAGAATCCGATCGCTAAGGTATGAAATATTTGAAAAATCGCATAGTACATTATAATTTAATATAACATTTATCGCGATAACACATTTATCGCAGTAACTATTAATAGTATTATGACTTTTATGATTTAATAAAGCGCATTTCTTGACATATAAGTCTTGATCGCGAATGCGATGGCATTCTGATGAATTCAACGTCATGGCTGCCTGACGCTCGCCAGAAAATAGTTCAGATGAGTAGAACGAGACGAGAGAACGAACGAATGAACGAACAGACGAGTAAGTGCGCGAGCGAGCGA